TCTTCCGTTGCTGTCACCTGTACCGTTAACTACAGTATTTGCTATACTACAGTATTTCCGGAAAATGGTGTCACTACCTTCATGCTCTTTGTTGTCTCACAGACCCTAATGCCAAGATACACTAAACCTGAATAGATTAGTTCATGGAAGAACCATGTTCCTGTACATTACATTTCCTGTATTATATACCAAATTAACATTCATTGTGTATAGTAATTGTATTGGAATATCCATGGTAGCATCTAGAAGGTTCCGTCCTTCGAAAATAGGAACTGGAATGGTGCCTGTGGTATCGGGCAATCTGTCAACAGTTGCCTTGTCTCCTACACCACATTGAAGCAGCAAACCGGTTATCCAGACTAACTACCACGGGCAGTGGCAAAAAGTGTCTTGTCTTAGGGGCTCAATACTTATGACTTTGGTCATCATTTTACTGGGCCTGTTAGCTGCAGCTCCCCCCTCGTTAATCATCTTATTGGGCCCCGGGCACTGCAGGCTAACATCTGATGGTTCTAACAACAGGATTCTCAGTGGCATTTATTGCCTCGAGGAGATGAGGTTCAGCCCTTTCAACGATGATTATGCCTCGCAAATTCAACAGAGCTATTCATGGGAACGAACGCCATCCTATGCCCCTACCCCTGGTAATTTCGGCCGTGATCGTACGCCTTCCGTATTTAGCTTTTCTTCCAACCGTGAGCCTGATGAACGTTCCTCCCCTTTGCGTCAAAATATACCCAACCAATTAGATTTCCTCCAAGTGGATAATCGGGGAAATGGAACAACAAATGATAAACAGCCACCAACCAGCATTCGTTATCTAATTGAGTGGAAGGTAACGCTGAACAACCGGGTTGTGAAAAAAGACACAGAACAAGATTTGGTTCTACGACCCAGTTCGTACTGGGAGCAAATAAAGCAAAATGCTGAAAGTACCGTACGTCGGAAAATTAAGCGCAACCAGCGGGTCAGATTAGATGATACTGAAGTCATTGTATCTGTAAATGACCGTTCACAAGATGATCTTTTCAAAACCTTTGATAATACTAACATTGATTGGACAAGCATAGAAAGGCAGCTCTTGATGTGGGGAAATCTGTTACATGCGGGCAAAAGGCTACGACTTCGTATTACAATTAACTATATAGAGGACAGCGACCTACCTCTATCAAGAAATACTGACAAGCGTGGGACAACATCAGTGACCAAGAAGATGCTTACCGAACGAGATGTTCAGATTGATGCCGAATATGCCTCGGGACAACCCTCAGTTTGGCGAGATGTGTATAGAATAATGCGTTGTTCTGGTCCACCATGTCGACACGAAGGACAATATTGTTGGCAGAACCCTGTTGGGAAAAAGCATTATAAACTTAAAACGCACCATCTCAAGAGCCTGGTCAAGTTTGTTGAGAGAGGTGGCACTATAGAGACCCACGATGATGTTCCCGAAGAAGTTCGTCAACAACTGTACGACGAGGAGGAAGAGCGACACGAGAAACAAAAGAAAGGTCCCAATCACTCCTTGCCAGGGTCAATGTGTCCGATCAATATTAATGTCCTCCCGACACAGTCGTCTCTTCCCCCCGCGATGGGCACTGATACAGGGAGTACTACTCATGCTGATCCTATTCATATTTCCGGACCACTTGATATCGCCGTCGAGGAATACACTGCTTGGCAGATATCCCGCGTGAGCCGTGAGACCTTTAAGGAACAGATTGTCAACGCAGGCAATGTGGCATTAGAGAACTGCCTCGATCTCAAACAGATTGACAAAGATCAAGACTCGGAATTTTTTGTCAAACGAGGTGTGAAAGTTGGTGCTGCTCGCCGGTTTGTTAGTGAGATCAGGCACTGGCTAGATTATGAAAAGAGCAAAGATTGAAGAGCACCCGGATCGAGGTTCATGATTATATCCACCTCAGCTGTTTATAAATTCATGTTATATATCAGTGAATTCATTATCCTACTGTCAAGATACGGAATGGAATAAAGTATCAGGATTTGGGCAACTTACTTAGGTTCGAGTATATAGGGGCCACGTTTGCGATTTTCGAATGGCTTTATTTTTTACTAATTTAGGAAGGCGGTAATTAGAGTGGTGAGGCACTCACACACCCCTGCTGGTGGACCGTACTAACAAAATCACTGGGGGAGAACCGAGGGGAGTCAGAAACGGCTTCTCACTTAGGGAGGTGTGGTAGAGCAACGGATGAGCCCTGCTCTGGCAGTAGCAAAACGAATGGATCAACGGTTAGCGTCTACAAAGCGTCCAGGCACCAGGGACGACCAACTAGGAGAGGTCATGGTGATACAGACAAACAGGCATGGGATTAACAACACGTGATGCCAAGGCCGTGGACGGTTAGCAGGACTTGTAAAACGGCATCAAAGGTAGCCGTTTTTGACCGCCTGCTGACTGTTTCATCGTTGTATGGGGTATGGGGTAGATAATGATTACGGCGGATAGTCATGGCTTTCCTCAACTATATAAATCGGCTCAGTTTGAAGGCACTGCATGAGGCTATTGAGGGTAAAGTATCTATTGCGCAATTTAAAAATTACCAATATTTGATGAATAATATTAAAAAAAAAAAAGGTTATAAATGTGAAGATTTCCTGCAATCTGATATAACTATTCCTTCAAATTTGGCCAATTTTGCTTTGGATAACATGAGAGCCCCTCTACCTAAGACATGTCGATCTTAAGGAATTTCGCGAACTCTTTACCTAGAGTATCCTCCATTTCAGGCATTTCTAAATCATCTTCAGATAGCTGACCGTCATCTTTATCCATGTTAGCATTGAGCAGTGTAAATAAAGGCATTAATTCATTACCACAATGACCCGCTATATCAATATCATGTTTTGCATGTGATGTTTCTTTCATACCAGTCCACTGTGATCCCACTACCGCAGATCCTGCCAGCCCAATCCCAATGTTTGAAATTGTTGTGAATGTGCCTGCTGCAGCTCCCATTCCAGCTCCCTGTAGGGTTGAAAACAAACTACCAGCTTGAACTATCCCGATTGAAGAATGCCAGGCTGTAGCAATAGAAGCCGCAACAGGACCTGAAGCGCCGAAACCAATAGCACCTAATACCGTAGGGCCGGTAATCGGTGCAGTGACAAGGGCAAGCCCTGTGCTACCAACCGCGAAGGCGGTTGTATGTTCTCGTACAACAGCCTGGCTGAAAGAAGTGATTGAGGCAGTTGCATTTCGAAGACGTTCCATTATATTGTGTTAGATAAAAAGTAGCTTATCAAAACCTCAAAATATTGAAAAATAGCATAGGTAGATGGAGGGGTTTGTGGGATTACTGTGCTGAATCAGGAAAAAGTTGGACAAGTGGTGTCGTAGGAGTTGCTATTTTACATCAGAAAGTTGGTCACGTGTTAGTAAGAGCACGTACCACAGGGTCCCAGAAGGGAACATACCAACGGGCGGAGTAAAACAGCCTATCTTGTAGATAGCCAAGCTAATTCTACTCCGGAGTAGGAACTCTATTGGTTCTAGCACGTGCACATGCACGTGACTCAGGTAGGCAACTTCTGAGACCACTCCTTATCATACCATCATGATCGCTCAACATCGACATCAATCGTCTTATAATCTGTACTGGATTTCTCACCATCGTTCTCCTTGACATCACAGCAAAACCAAAAGGCAAATGCTCTTCTTAATAAGCTTGTCCAATCTTATGGCCTCGAACAAACTGTACAAAAGGGCTACAAGCCTGCGAAGCTTATTCAAGAAACATCTACACGCGTTGCATCTCGAGACGCATTTTTAAGGTTCTTCTTTTTGTATATCCGTGAAAGTTTTAATTATACAGAATGATATCTCCGCTGCCTTATCGTACGTCGACAACTTCATCGGGCCCCAAGCAACACAATCAATATCAAGGACGCTGTCGAGAGGTTTGCTGAATATTTTACTGATAATTTTCTTCTTCCACGTATGGCAATCTTTATTTCGAAAATTTCAGTTCTTGTGTTAACTAATACTGGCTAGTCAGGGTATTATCCGCGAAGACACCCCAAGCAATGCCTACATCGTTGTCCATAATACAAACACCTACGCCAACTGGTACGAGACAGCGCGTATCTATCCTTCGGCAAAATTGTCTTGTGCGTGATCATCATCGGTGTGTGATATCTCATAAATTCAATATAGTCGAAGCCAGGAAGCGCGCCGAAGAGTACGGGAATGATTGTAAGGATGATGACGGAAACCTACTAAAAGATGAATCACGTGGTGGATTTCAATACTTGGAAGTTGCTCATATTCTTCCCCTTTATTTGCAAACTGTGGCACCTGGAGAAACGGATTTAGTATGTTGGAAATGAAATATCCAGTTGCTGTACTAATACATGTTCCCAGACCGAGTCAAAGAAGAATGTGTTTCGAATATTAGATATGTTCGAACCAGGAATAAGTCACCGTCTTGATGCATCCAAGATTGATAGCCCCGTGAATGCTCTCACGTTGACACTGGATTATCACTGACTATTTGGTGAATTCCAGATATGCTTCGAACCGACTGGCAATTCATATGAGTATAAAATCGATTCACTCGAGACCTCTTTTCTACGCGATCCTCTATTTCCCACCATCCGCACTATGAAACTCACGGTGCGAGCGAATATATAGAGAAAATTCTTCGAGATATGGAGGACGTAGATGTGAAAGCAGATGGTTCAACAAATCTTGGATATATTGCGGGTTTACGGCTCGGTGGCTGGCTAAACGTGTTAGCTGTGTTCTGATGTTGTGTGCTTTGTTATTCGAAGCCATCTTGTGCTCATACATATGATACCCAAGCAATCAATGATTCTAAAGATTAACCCTTCAAAATATAGCACACGGAACTCACATCTTTTTTCTTCAATAGATATACCTGAGTGCCTGAAGTGCCCCTTTGCACTTTGCTCTCTTGCACCAACAGCATCAACACACCACTCAAGGAAAGTATGAAATCCTTGTTCACGGTTGTTTTCATAGGACTGCCACTGTCGTCGAATAAAAGCTTTTAACTCGGCAAAAAACTCTTCAATGGGGTTAAGATCTGGTGAGTATGGTGGTAAATATACAAGCTTGACTCCCTTCTCAGAACACATTTGTTCTATTCGCTCAGAGTGATGAAAAGAGGCGTTGTCCATGATAAGGACAGACCTAGGATTAGGATATGGTTGACAATGCTGGAGAAGTTCTTCGATGAAATCCTCAAAAAATGCGCCATCAGTAGAGCCTTGGAATACACGAGAGAGTAGAATCCCATCCTGAGTATATGCAGGAAGTATCTGATATCGCTGGTCTCGATGGAACTTAGATACCTGGACTGGTGTTGTTCCAAGGGGAGACCAGCCTGTTCTTCTAAAGCCGACCCGTTTATCACACCCAGATTCATCCACATAAATAAGATGGTATGAGCAGAACTCTGATATATCATGAAAATACTCATCACGCAAATCTGCATTTCGCTCCTTTGCTTTCTGCCGGGCTGTCTTCTTCGACCATCCTTTATGATGAAGTGCATCACTGACTGTAGATTTGGGTATATATACTTCAAATTCATCCAGCAGGAAAACTTGCATCTCATAGATATATAAACCAGGCTTTTCAAGAAGATAATCACAGAGGGCTTCTATCATATCTGGTGTAACATGTCGTGGCCGTCCTCTTTTGATTGGTGGTGCTTTGACATGACCAAACAAGTGTAGGTTAGAGCGAATTCTTATGATTGCACGCTTGCTGCAGCCAGCAGCTTCAGCCATCTGGGACGTAGTGAGTTCATCACTGCTTATCATATCATGAATAAGGTCAAGGGTGGATTGAGCAAGATTAGGCGCCATTATGAGTCGCACTCCTTGTTGATCGATCAATGAGGGTCTGCTCGGCCTGCTTTGGAGAGAGCAAAGAAATATGGCGGGGCATCGAGGTACAGAGAAACTGTACAGTTGAAACAGGTAATATACATAGGCTTAAGTTATTTATAGCTACTTTACCATACGTTACCAGGTGCCGATCTGCAGCCACTCGGAACAATCTTAATGTAGCTTAGTGTATCTTGGCATTAGGGTATGGGAAACAACAAAGAGCATGAAGGTAGTGACACCATTTTCCGGAAATACTGTAGTATAGCAAATACTGTAGTTAACGGTACAGGTGACAGCAACGGAAGA